GGGTGTGAGGAGAGGCCTTGGAATTTCCCAGTTCGGTGCCACACCTGAGCCGGCCCCGCGCGCCTCTCCCTAAGCCCCCGGCGCTCGGGCTAACAGGCGGGCAGCAGTGCTGGGCCGGGGGGGTGAGCTGTGTTGAAGGATCGCTGCGTGCAACCCAGGCGTTGTTCCTCTTTGTTCCAGATTGACGCTCTCTACGTGTGTGCGCTTCCCCAAGCAGGAGTTGTGCTTGTCACCTTCTTCCTTTCAGCGGTTGTAAGAGCACTGAGAAGATGGTGAATGTTCTGAAAGGGGTTCTGATTGAATGGTTAGTGACGGTACTTAGTCTCTCGTTGTGTCAAAGTCTACTTATTTCCTTACAGAGGGAAATATTCCAAGTAACTTAAGAGTCTAGACCCTCCCCCCAAAAAATAATTGTTGTGGGGAAGGGTGATGATGAACAAGTAGACAAAAGAAGTGTGCGGTCTTTGGCAGGAGGCCGTTGTAGGTAGTCCTAATTCCAAACTCCTTTTTTCTTTTCAAGATATTGTTTTCCACTTATGCTTAACCATTAGATGTTCCCTCTTGTTCTTCATGCTGCTTACAAATAGTGGGGTTTTTTGTTGTTTGTGAGCATTTGTTTCTTTACTGATTCTAGAGGGTGATGAAATAACCTTTCATCCTTTCTTTCCTGTATTTTTTTATCAACTCCAGTCCAAATTCTGTTCAAAGCTGATGTGTGGCTCTGTTTGTAGATCACACTTGAAAGGAATATGCTTGGAGTTTGTAAATGTAAGCTTTTGATGTATGCACAGTAAATATGTTTTCATACAATCTGAATCAGATAACTGGTTACCTCCAAAGTAAAAAGAAGCATCAGTCAAGATATGTGGGGTCATTGCATAACATTATATGACATATATTTCTGCTGTACACTTAAAGTGTAAACATATTAACAGATCATAACTGCACAAAAGCAGAAGAACTTTGAATCTCTTGTGGTGTGCCTGCATGGTGCATATAGCTGTGATCTTGCAGCAGCTAACTTCTGAGCTGACTGGACATTAGCCAGCTGAAGTTTTGATATCTAATGGCCATGTGTGAGCAGCTCAGAGCTTAAACTCTGCTATAACAAAAAGCCTGTCTTCTCAGATTTGGCTCTATGCTACTAGTACATTGACAAACCTTCTGAAGCACAAGAAATTGCTTGTCTGCAGCTGCCTATGTAAAGAAGCCCAGAGCAAAATTCTTTACCAAAAAGGCAAGAAGTTCTAAAATCTCAAGCAGTTAATATTTTATTTTCCACCTTATGTGTTTCTTTTATGCATACCTAAAGATTTGTGTGTTTTTATTCATCTCCAAGGCCACATTCCATTTGTATTAGCATGGAACTTAATCATTCTTCCTGGAAGGGAAGGGAATTTTCTGCTAACAAGTCTACAGCATTTGTTATGCCATTAGATGTTTTCAACAGCCCTCTGGAGAACTGTCTTTTGAGTTGGTTTTGCTAGCTCTTGGTGGTTTGGTTTTGTTTGTTTTCTCCCCACCTTTGCATAAGAGTAACCCATGATTGGGCACAAAATTCCATCCTAGGAGAAGAGTCAGAATTACTGTACACCTGTCCTCTATGTACACTTCAGATACAAGCTTTTTACAACCCAGTTTTCTGAGGATGTTTAAGGTACCAAATAGACAAGGAGTGGAAAAAAAATAGACACTTCTGAATGTGTAAATCATGCAAATAAAATAGTGAAATGGTGTGCAGGCCTCTTTTTTCTGTACTCTTCCAATAAATAGCTAAACTTTTCTGAAGACATCATATGAAGGATTATAATCTTTAAGTACTGTAATGAGGTTGGTGTTTCTGCTGTGGCATACATCTACTGTCACTGATTACAGTTCTGTATGTAGATTGTGTGAAAACCAGTCTCTGGATACTGCCTAACATCATACAGGCTGGTCACACCAGCTAGGACAAAAGCTCATGCCATCTAGTACTACTAATGTGAGTCACTAAAGTACAGCTGAATGATACAAGTGAAAAATAAGCCTTCCCGCCACTCATCCAAAGGGGGATGTGGAAGCATGCTGGGAGCCACGTAGTTCTGGTATCTGATTTTTCTCAGTTTTTCTGTTTCTCTTCTTACATGCCAGAGCACATAAAATACAGCTCTTCTAAGGAAGAGATAGCTTCCAGACTTTCCCATTCTCCTTTCCTGAAAATTGCTTAGTACTTTGAAAACTCATCTTACTATAGTCATGCTTTTGAGGCTAATATTAAAGGTTATTTTTTGAGTTGCTGAGTAGGGTTCGAGTTGCTGGCAGGGGAAGGATTTGGTCTCATAGGGGGTGTCTTTGCACCGTATATACTTTTAGGTAAGGGAGAATCGATCCTTCTACTGTATTTAAAAGAGAGATTAACAAAGGAATTATTTTTAGATTTACTATGTTATTAAGAGTTCTTTTTGAGAATTACTTTGTTGCCGAAACAACTATGTTCTTAATTTTTGAAAGTGTCCTGAGCTACCTGATACCAATTACCTGTATTTCTTTCACATATTGTTCACCAGTTGTTGCAGTCAAAGAGCATGTTTTTCCTGTTTTGTGAAAACTAGTATCAGAATAATATTGTCTGAATTCTTCAAAATTGCAGTGGATCAAAGAGCTTATATTTTCAAGCCATTTTATCTACTTGCTTGGTATAATATAGCTGTTTCAGTTACCTGTGATTTCCATGCTTCCAAAATGTTTTCTTGTAAACACTTCAATTTAACTTAGAAGGTGACACCATGTAAAAGAAAGACTGTTCAATTACGGTGTGATGAATGTACGATTCATACATGACCACTTTCTCTGTGCTATACTAATCTGAGTAAGATCTATGTTCTCCTGGGTTTTGATTGCCCTTAAACAAAAATATGCTTTAAGAAAACCTGTTTTTGTGGTGCTGTTGCTGAAGATAGAAATGTGAGTTCAAAGTTGCCTTATTGTGTTGTGTTTTTTTTTAAGCTACTTTAACAGCACCACGGGGGTACTTCTCTGCTGATCAGGCAGCCAGTTCTTCTCATTGTCTCATTATCAGTTCATTTTTATCTCTAAAGTAACCCAAGCAATTACTATTGTGAAAGAGAAAACTTTTGCAAAAGCTTCATAAACGTATCTAAGTTGTGAGCAGCTCTTGCCATTGCTATTAATTTTCTAAAGAACTTTGGGAATGTTTTCAAATGGTGGGGTTTTCTGTTTGTTCTTAACTGTATCTTATTACAATGAGGTTGGATCTGATGTGTGTTTATCTCTACAGTGACCCAGCAATGAAGCAGTTTCTGCTTTACTTGGATGAGTCAAATGCATTGGGAAAGAAGTTCATCATACAAGACCTGGATGAAACTCATGTCTTTGTATTAGCTGAGTTGGTTAACTTCCTTCAGGAGAGAGTGGGCGAGTTAATGGACCAGAACTCTTTTCCTATTACTCAGAAGTAAAAAAGACTAGAGAAATGAGATTACTGCGAGTTTTGGAAGAGTGAATTTCAATAGCTTGGGTTGTTACTGTTTTAATAGATACACTGTGGTTAGTCAGTTCTACATGGCTACTCTAGAAAATGGATCATTTTCATAGACAGAATACTCTTGAATTGGATTTTATTTCTTATTTTGAAAGATTATTGTACCCTTATTAAAATCCTTAGAATGATACACTTGAGAACTTGCCTAGAGAATTTTTGATGCATGCTGTCTGTTTTTCCTTTAGGATTTTTATCTTGCAAGATGGTATGACCCAAAAATTAGAGTGGTGTTTCTGTATTGGAAAGCTATATGAACTCCTCTGACATGTTACATTCCTGCGGAATTGATTGAATCTAGTTATAGTGTGACTGATAGAATGTAAAGAATGTCTATTAAAATATGATCTGTGCTTGATGGAACATCTTCATAAGTTGAAGGCATGGTCAGATACTGCTTTAACTTAATGGATTTTATACACCAAAATTAAAGTTGGTATGAGTTTTCTTTTTGGTTTGTTTTTGTTTGTTTGTTTGTTTGTTTTGTTTTTTTTCCCAAACATTTTACTAATGGTTGATACTACTTGCCTGCTTTTACCAAAGCTATGCTTTCTGTGTTGTTCTGGGTCTGGGGAGTGGTGGTGGTTATCTTGGAGTATGAGGCAGGGATACAGGGGGATGGGGAGAACAAAATCTGTTATCCTAGATCATCACATTTTAATTGTAAACTGATTATTTACATATCAACAATAGCAAAGTAAAGGGGTAGCAGACATGGGAGAGCAGTACTTTAGATATAAGTGCTTGTTTTTTTTCCACTGAAGCTAATACCTAATACCATAAGCTATGTGATCAGGAAGGGGAAATAAAGACTTGGTTGCTCTACCTGTGAAGAAGAAAGCCGTTTGGGGTTTTTTGGGGTGTTGGGGTTTTTTCCTCCCCTACTGCACTTTGCTGCAAAGAAAAAGCCTCATAGTTTCATAAGGTTGTTGTTTGGTTGGGTTTTTTTTTGGCACTGTTTGTAACTCAGTATCTCAGACACTGGCTTATTTAGTAAGTCAGCTAGTACATGATGATAAAACCTGTGAATATTTCTGTCTACAAATATGGCAGACACAAATCACAGAAACAAGAAGAATAACTGGTATTACCTTTTCTCTTATCCTACATCCTACTCAAAATAGTAAAATTTATTGCATCTATAAGTAATCATTTATAAATTAAAGACTGCTAGGATATTACTTCAAAGAGAACCTTGGTTTTCAGAGCTCTTCATGTACATCAGATAGATGCCATCTTTCTGTCTTTGGGGGAAAAACAAGTGTAAATAGGCTTTTATAGGGAACAGTTTTCTTTACCGACTCTCCCACCGTTGCTTTTTTTTTTCTTGTCCAGTAGATATCAGAGTAGTTGGTGTTTCTGGTTTTGGGTTTGGTTGGGGTTTTTTTCCAGGAATAAGGAAACTTCAGGAGAAAGTTTCATTAGATGTTTTTAATCAAAAAGCTATTCAAAGAAAGTTCTGCAAAATAACATATAATCTGTCTCGCATGGATGAGCCAATAGCCCTGTGGAATTTAGTTTCATGTAGTCTCTAGTACCCTGCCTTCTCTCTGACTGTATAGAACAATGGGGTTTGGTCCAAGTAGTTTCATCTTTCTTTTACAAGTGGATGCTTCCCTAGTCATGTAGATCAAGAACCAGCTATGCATCTTCACTTGAAGTAAAAAGTTGAAATATTTTGTGAATGGTTTATGATTCTTACCTCTTTCTTGAGACTGGTCAAACATTGACCTCATGACTGTTCTTTTGTGGAAGATTATTGGATGCTCATTTAATGGAAAGATAAATCAGTCTTAACATGGCATGATGGCTTAATGCAATTTATTTTAAAGTGTCTTATATCCTTTCTTTGGAATCCTAGTGTATTTTCCATCCAGATTTTGATGAAAGGTACATGATCCCTTACTCCCTCTTCAAATGACAGTATTTGAAAAGTCATGTTAGAATTACACCTGTTAAGCTTCTTTCTATTTAGTAGGTCTAGTGGTACATTTCTATCGTGATTTTCCTTTTAAGGAAAATAAAGAAGTCTATGATAAATTTCTTGCAGTTCTTGTCTTTTGCTCCTGGTTAATTGTATGGCTATATTGTTGCATTACTTGTGTTTTAGCTTATATTTCCAGTTACGTTTCCGTTCATAAATGGCTTATGTAATACAGAGGGATAGAAGTTCCAAACTGTATAAACAGTTAGGCATGCGTGCTTATACTCTTTGCTCTCAATCTTTTTTGAGCAAACATTTTTATGGATTTTAACATCTAAACCTGTCAAGACTTATATCCTTCCTGCAACCTAAACAGGTCTAACTGATTCTATGCTGGAAGAGTAAACAAAAGATATAAAGAAGCAAATTGTTATCTCCTTATTGGGTCTAAGGAGCTGAGTTCTTTGTAGTTTCTAGGGAAAAAAAGGGTCTTGAATCATGTAGTGTATGGTGAAGGAAATGCAATGAGGAAGCTTTCAGAACTTGAGTATGTATATGTATTAAAAAAAAAACAAACCACCCAAGGGTTTCAGGGGTTGAATGAACATGGACCCCAGAAAGCTTTTTTTTTTTCAATGCATATAATAATTTAACTTACATGCTTTAAAAAATACATATATACGTGAAAAGAAAAAGTAGATACTAGCTTCAAACATATCAAGACATTCTGAGATCATTAACATTTAGACCTATGGATTTTAAATGTTTTTGCTGGCTTTCATTTAGATGTGAAATGTTATTGGTGAGTGGAGCTTGGAATGAAACATTGTGTTAAGAATGTATTTTTTTTTTTTTTTTAAGGCTGGAAGTATTTGAGAACAAAAGGTTAAGGAGATCTGCTTAAGTATATGCATGTTTTGCTAATAGAGTTGATATGGTGAGAACAGTAGCTCTTGCTGTATTTGGAGTTATATGTGTTAAGTTCACATTTCTATCCATAGGTAGTAAGTTCACTTTTTTTGCTAGTGTCTAGCATAGGGACTATACTCTGCTCAGGTCCTGCTTGAGCAGCAAAAATAGAGCTTGAATGACAGACAACTTGTTGCTTCTTGTTGAAGCAGCAAATTCTGTCTTGATGGGCTTTCACTGCTAAGGGTTGAACTGGTGCTTCACTTTTTGCTTTCAGTCTGAGTTGAAAGTATCTCGTCTACTGGAGGAAGAGCAAAAAAAAGAATAATTACCTAAAGGACAATTATTTGAACTTAATTTCTTATTTGCTACTTATTTTTACTTAACTTGCAAGCTTTTTTAGAGCTCACTTGTTTGTGTTTTGTGATGTAACCAGTTGCTCTGGGTAGTTACTTTGAACAGGCTTATAAATTACACTTTCATTAACACAAATGCAGAAGCTAAAGAGTAATATTTGAGAGAAAGATGCGAGAGATCTCTAAAGCAGGGTAAGAGAATTTGAACAATGAAAGGTATTTATGTTAAATGAGAAGAGAGGGGTGGAAACTGAAAATGCAGCTTCCTACTGAAATAAAGCAATAGCACCTCATTTTTATTTAAAATTACACTGTTTGGTGTTTTGTTTTAGCCTCAGATTTTTTTTTTTTATTATTAATGGTCTTCAAAGAAAGCTGTGTAATATGACCATAGTGCACCACAAAAGCAAATAAGCCTAAATGCTGTCGCATATTTAGATATGCTAATTCTGGAAGGTGGGTTTTTTTAACATGGTGGTTGGCAGCATGACGAAGATCACCCCAAGTTAGTCAGTATATATAGGGATTATAATTAATTTCTTAGCTTGTTACCAACACATAAGTCCCCTTTCCTTCTTTCCAGTTCAACAGTTAGGCCAGGGAGAATAATTATCCAGTGCAGTAAAGGAGGAAATAACCAACGATCAGTAGAGAGAATGGATGTGGCCTCAAGAAGGGAAACTGTATTGAAAGAAAATAGAGAATGCTTCGGGGAATTGCACCATTTTACCTGAGAGAACCCAGTTTGAGTGGATTTAACTTTGTAGTTAAACTGCCAGTGCTGCTTCATAAAAAGGTAGGCATCTAAATCCATTTGGAATGAAGAGCAATAAGAGTGGTTTTTTTTGTTTGTTTAGAAATTTAATGTGCTTATAGTGGTAGTTTGGGTTTTGTTCTATGTAGCACAGTGGTGAGAGCTAGATGGCCGGTGTGATGTGCTATACAAAAAATTCTCCACATGCTGTTGTACATTAAGAAATCCTGTTTTACAGTCTTTCCAGAACTGTAGGGGGTATTCAAAAGCGTATCTTCTGATTTTTTTTTTAATGTGGCATAACAACAGATTTTACTGTTTTTTCTCACTCAAGTTACCTCTGCAGGGCCACCTCAAGTATACGAGAACAAACCAGAGAACATGTATTTTATGCATTAACAGGGTTGTTTACTGTGAGCTGAAGTAAACAGGATTGTTACGGTGAATTGAAGATAATGGTATTTCATGGTGTCATTATAAGGACTTGTTTGAACTTTTCTTAGTTGGCATCACCACCATAAAAGTGTCCTCAGTCAGCCCCTAGGTGGAGCTTGCAAAGGTAGGGCTCTAAAAACCATATATAGATAGATATAATCCACAATACTTTTAATCATGTAAACCAACACGGTCTGAGAGGCGTATTTTGCTCTTCCATCTAGGCAGTAGGTCATTGAAGAAAACAGTAGGCTTTTGTACTAAATCTTTTAGCAGTTCCCAATTCCACAGCAGATTCTAATTCTTTTCCTACACTGACTCATTGATTATGCCACAAATGATCCCATTAAAGCTGGTGGAGGTGACTGTGAAATGAGGCATTACTCAGTATGTCAGAATTGGGTGTTCATGTTTGTTGGGTAATGCAGGCTTTGGCAAGGCTTACACGTGCTATAGAAAATTAATGATTCAATAAACTGGGGAAGTTCATAATGATGGAAGAACAAATTCTTCCTAAACTAAGTCATCTTTGGTCTTATGACTTAACAACTAATAAGAAATTTTAAAAATTGTCTCTGATAGAAATATGATGTGGAGCTCTTTTTTTTTTTTTTTAATGTGGAATAGAAGTAATATTTTACCCTTTTTTTTTTAATACGAAGATTTTCAGGACTGAAGACTTAACAATTTGAAGGCAGACCAGTAAGGGGAGCTCTTACCAATATTTTAAACTGCTTTTTAAAAAAAATTGCT